AGCTGATCAGGAGAGGGGGGATTAGTGACGAAGGGAGAAAGGGAAGTGGAAAATCCCCGGTCCAGGAGATCACCCTGGATCCCCCTGTGCTTTTACTGGGCTAAGCCATGTTATTTTACAGTAAATTTTGTAGGCAGTTTTAGTCTGTCTCTCTTCCTGATGATACAGGCATCACCACTAGTGATGTTCAATTGCAGCTTGTTGCCGATTATCTCGAATGGACGCATGCTCCAACACATAATATGTACAAGGTGCATATCCGTACTTTATACGCCATATGCCGAAACGGTGAGAAGGAACGCTTTATGTCTCATCTTGGAAATAGGTTAGTCTTATCGATGTTCCGTCTTTATCACTGCATTACTGTGTTTTTTATTGACCGGTGTAACTTAAATTTGGAAGATATTGTTAAAAACGAAAAGTAGTGAAAGATAGAATAGTAATAGTGAAAGAGAAAAAGTAATGAAGTAGGGGCATATGAGTGGGAAGAAAAAGTAGAAATAGCGAAAGAAGAAATAGTGAAAGAGTAGTGTAAGAAAAGTTAGTGAAAGAGGGGCTTAAACCTTAATTTAGGGTTAAAGGAAAAATGTGAGAAAAGAATGATGGAAAACATAAAAGGAATTATTAAATTAGGTAAGAAATGTTTCGGTCCATTAAGTCGTATGCATTTCTTACCTTTACCACAATTGGACCTCTTCAGTACGACGATTGTGGTAAAGAAATTTTAAAAGGTAATTAAGATGGGAGACTAAATAAGTTAGTTAATGTGTATGCAGATGTAAAAAGTGGAAAGGAAAGTGGAAGAAAAATTGTAGAAAAATTAGGAAAGGTTGAAGAAAAGTGCGGGAAAAACAGAAGATGAAGAGAAGGTGAGTGTGTAGAAGTATAGGGAAGTAAGAATAAAGGAGTGGAAAATGAGAAAGGTATGTGATAAAAAGTAACTTTCTTCTTTCTGAAAAGTTATGAAGTGTAAATTGATAACAAATCCTACCTGTTGATGACTAGCGGTTTCCATCCTAAATTTTTAGCCACTCACCTGAATTTAAACTGCCGAAGGTGCATTTCCTTTTCACTGTTTTTTTATGCGTTTTGTGCTGTGTAGCAGTACAAAACGCATATTGTTACGGGGTTGTCTGTGTGTGTTTGTGTGTGTGTGTGTGTCCGCAGCAACTTGTCCGCAACTTTCAACTCGGGAATCATAAAAGCTAGGAAGCTGAAAATTTAGGGGAACGTTACCCACCCACGTGTGACCCCGCAAATTTA